GAACGGCCGAACGCATCCCCAAGGGGTCCCATACGTTCGGGCGTTCGGGTTCGGGCGTTCGGCCCGTAATGAACGTCGGTTACCCTGTATATATATATATATATATTTCTTTGTGATGATATATATATATATATATATATATATATCATTTTATTTTTATTTTTTATTTTTTTCGTCTATTTTTTATTGAACATGTTCTCGTTCGTTTTTTTTTCCCTTTTGCTTTTTTATTCTTTTTGTTTTTATAAGAAAGGACGACTTTCCCGTTGTCAGTAGCTCTAACCTCGACAAGGCTCAACATATCAGGTAGTGGGAGGTTCGGACTTGATAGCTGGGAAAGGTACTAGTGGTTTATGCAGACTTAAAAAAAAAAAAAATTGCATTTGTACCCCGCTTAAAGATGGAAATACCCGCTATACCCGGGTTCAACGCGAACTTGCATCTATACTTAAAAAATTGACGGTGGAAATTATTTGCATGCCCAAGTCTGAGGTCGACGCAGGTTGGCACTGCAAAATTATGGTTGTAACCAAGTATTAAAACGCAGAGATTATGGACATACCCAGACAAGGTTATGAAATACCTGAGACTAAGGTGGACCGACCAAATTTCATTCATAAAAGTTCTTTCACGATTTGTGGATAGTCCCTGTGACCAGCCAAGTACTAAATCCCCATTTCTCCAAAGGGCCGCGACCTGGTCCCATCTGAAAATGTACATTTGAGCTTCAAGGTTTATTTGGCTTTCAGGGGACGCTGGACCCGGTTTCCAGCAGAGCCTAAGGCTTGGATCCCACAATCTTTAGTAGGGGTACTTTCATGAAAAAAAAGAAATCCCACACGTTTTCGCGGTGATCGGACAGGGAAAAGAATTCGGATGTTTCTTCTCTGGGCCTCCTTCCTGGCAGCACGGGAGAGACTCGTGGCTGGTTTCGTCAACGAATTTCCAAAAGCTCGCGACCCCTACCCCCTCCCACTGAAAGTAGGTGCCTCTGCAAAATTGGGTTTTCCCTTTTTTCTGTTGTCGGTTCGTGGTCGTTGGCCGTTGGATGTCCGTAGATGGCGTTGGGATGGAGTGCATGTCGGCAAAATTTGTGGAGAAGTGCCTTCCCCCTCGGGCCTATGGGATCCAAATTCGTTCTTACGAACCCGTTGGCGCGGACACGACTTTCAGGGTACTTTTCGGACTTTTTCTTCGAAACCCACTGTGGGATCCAAGCCTAAGCTGGGTAATGGCCCCAGTGCTTTTCCGGGTTGTTTGTGAGGATTCCCGGCCTGTGATTTTATTTTTTTAATTTTTTATAAAGCTATATTCTTCTCTCAAATTCACCTCACACTACCTACCTACCTAAGACTATATAGAGGGGACCCCTGCAAGCATAGGGCCTGGCAAACGAGGTAGTTGCACCTTGGGGGGTGGGGCCGCCAGCGGGGGTCCGGCTAACGCAAAGACCTAGCATTTTGCCAGTAGCTTCGCCTCCCTTTCTCATCGTCCCCCACCCCTCATCAAGTAGCAGCAGAGGCTATGGCCAACACTCTCCCACACACCTAAGCTTGGAATTCTAAAAAAAAAAAAAAAAAAAAAAAAGGAAAGAAAAGAAAAGAAAAGGTACAGCAGTGTGACGGCAACCATGCCCAAAACCTCAAATGGCCCCTTCCCACAAATCCGCATATTTTGCGGATTTGGGGTCGCAGTGTGAGTATGCCCTCAATTTCACCTCACACTACCGACCTACCTACCACCACGCCTAATTATAGTCCTACGGGGAACCCCGTAGCAGCCAGAACCGTGTTGACGAGAGAATTGCGGGGGCTGCCCCCTACCTGCAGGTGGGCGATACCGGCTACGCAGGGGACAGCCGGTAGCATCAGGGACCATGCCAACAGGACCAATCCCTGTGCGCCGCTCAGGTGGTGGTCCCCCCCCCCCCTACAAACATCAGCAGACTCTGCTCAATGATCCCCCGAGTCCGGCTTCTACAACAACCTGGGCTCTAAAATAATTATAAAAAGAAAAAGGAAAAAAAAGGGGGCCGCTGTTTCTTCTGCCCAACTTTTTTTCCTGAATTGATCAGAACACTTCATCTTCGCCAAAAGGCCGAGACACGTGTCTCAGACCACGTGTCTGTGACACGTGTCCGGCCAGCATTACGGATATGGAAAACTCCCATGTTTGCCCGCCATCGCCGCGAAGCGACGGTTCGGATGAAAAGAAAGCAGAGATGGGCGAGCGCCAAAGGTGTGTCCAGATTCAAGAGGTGGAGAAGGTCGGGATCGCGACACAGCATCCAGGGGAAGGCAGCGTGGACGATGGAGCCGACAGCGTCGGAGAGGGACTAGTGCTTCGACGCTTGAGATCAGCCGATTTCCACAAGGGTGAGG